CTTCCTTCCATGGCAGTGCAACTTCGTAATGACGACCATCAAAAGAGATTTCTTTGTTTCGCTTGGCTTCAATTGGCAAGGGAGTTGATGTCGTCTGTAATTCCGATGCTTTCGGTTTCCCAGAACAGTTTCAGCATATTCGTGATCTCGTCGACTTCATTCACTTCGTTTAACAATGGTTCACCAGAGATGATGAGATTCGAGATGACATTGGAATTTTCATGTACATGTTGCTCATCGGTAGGGCCTGACAGAAGCCAACCCAACTTGCTGTTGATGGCTGTGGGACCGAATTCACCGTGGATCGATTCTCCAGTAATAATCTGATCCAATGAGAATGTCAATAGAGTCTTGGTCGATCGCTGAACTGTCTGCTAAATCTAAATCGGCTAAATGTGGGTATTTTGTGACATCTATTCTCTTAGGAAGTGGCGAACAAATGACCAGAAAATTGAGCGCTGAAATCTCCACATACTCGTCTTTACTGCTTCGCAGTGGCAAAGTAACAACTTGGCATTTTTGTTTACAATAGGCATTTTCCCCAAACGTGTTTAGGTGAAGGGTCTCAGTTGACATTGCAGTTAAACCCAGCTTTGCTTTGATGTGGTCAGTCACGTATGAACGTTGACTACCATTGTCTAATAAAATTCGTACGGGAACGGACTTGGATCAGTCTTCGTTTGTTGCTATCGCGGTAGCAGTTTGTAACAAAATGCTCCCCTTGGCTCTTTTCGTACTTGTAGTTGCGGTGGTAGTGGTCCTCCCCAAACTAGTTGCTTCTTCGTTATTTGTGTTACTGTCGGCTGGTCACGTTTCTCGATATCCTCCTAAACAAATTGACTGATGATGACGGCCTCCACAGTTACAACAGTTCCTTGAGCCCCTGCAGTCCTTGATTTGATGCCCAGGAAATAAGCATTTAAAAACATCGTTTTGACTTGATTAGTGTACTTCTTCTGTGGTTCGGATCAGTCGTAATGTATGCGTAATGTATGCGCCCAAGATGGCTGCAACGTGTTACTTTGTTCTCATCATATTA